AGTGTACATAACAATTATAATGCAAAAAAAAATTTGTGGCCGTGTCGGGGGAGAGGGTGAGGGTAAGGTGGGGGAAAGAGGAAGTAGGGTAATAAAAAGTAGGGAAAATAAAGAAAGTATTATTATTAACGTATAAGTTATTTTAATTGAATGAAAGTTGTTGAAATTTTATTATTACTTTAGGTATAAAACGCAAATTCAAGAAAAAAAATTGAATTCCCGAATTTTTTCTCGGGGGAAGGGGGGGATGGGGGGAAGGGAACAAATCAGGTACGACGATATAATTTTTCGTTTGTTTCATTTTTTTTCATTCGGATCCTTAAAAAAAAATATGTTTCGCTAACTATTACGTAATTTTTTTTTGTCAATAAGATTTTTTCCGATTTCATTTATATCGATCGATCGATTGATCGATTGATTGAAAATCGATTTTAGCAGATGATTTTTTCTATAAGGTATTTTTACCATATTTGGTATTTAACCTGTGTACCCCCTGATCACACACACACGTGCGTGCGTGCATGCGTGCGTGAGTGCGTAAAATTAAAATTTTTTCTTTTTGATTTTCTTTTGATTTTCACTCCGAATTTATTCTTTCCCGTTTGTCTGTTTTAAATAATAATAATAATAATCAAATATGAATGATGAGGTAGTGGGGAGTAAAATCGACAGGAATTTCGGTAATTTTTTTTTAAAAAGACGGACTAACGGATCACGAGGACGGTATTGTTACCTGGAACCTAACCTGGATTACAGGTAACACTTTAATAACAAACAAAGACTACGACGCATATCGTTCATCGACATAATAATAATGGTAATGACGACGATAGTATAAAAAGTTGGAAAATTTTTTTTTTTTCCTTTTGTTTGTTCAGACAATCTTTGCCTTTAATATAGGAAGAAAAAAAAATTTCAATTTAACTTGAATTTTTTTTTTTTATTTATCGAAAAAAAAAAAACGAAATCGTGACTCCATAAAAATACTTTTTGACCGGTTTTAATTTCCTTTTTTTTTTTTTTTTTTTTTTAAACGAAACGTAAAATTTCTTATTCGATCGATCATCATCGAATCTTCCATTAACTTATGTACATATATATAAATAATTATTAAAGATTATTAATACATATATATATGTAAAAAACGCGGAAGGGATTTCAAAAAAAAACTCACGAAATCAAACCTAAATAAAAAAAAAGTTTCTCGTTTCGTACGTTGATTGTGTATGTGGGGTGCGCGTGCGAGGTGTAAATTCTTTTTTTAAATAGAAAATACTCGTTTTTAAAAATTATACAATTACAAAAACGAACAAAAAATAATAATAATAATAATAATAATAATAATAATAATAATAATAATTTTTATCGTTTTCTCTCAGTTTTTATATAGTTTTACGTAATTTAAATCGCGGACGAATTTTTTTTTTTTATCCTTTCATCGAACCGTAAAAAAGATTCGTTCGATGATTTTCCATTTCGAAATTTTTTTTTAAACGGTTTTTATCGTTCGAATCGTTTTTTAGTTAAAGACAATTTTAATTCGTCAATTAAAAAAAAAAAATGGCGAAAATGAATGATTTTATCGAAAACGTAACGAAGTAATTTTTCCGGAAAAACAAAAACTCATCGATGAAAAATTCGATTAATAAAAATTTTCCCGTATCGCCAAGTTATTATTATTATTGTGGTAACTTTTAAACACGACAAGATTCTTATTTGTCGGAATTATTATTATTATTATCATGCAAGGGGTAAATTTAAAAAAAATGAACTTCTTATCGATAATAGAAGACAACCCCCGCGAGAAAAACGATCAACCTTTTACGACGACTACTCCCCGAAACCTCCTTCCCCCATTTTTTTCTCATTTTTGTACGTACAAACTCCCAAACCCCCCAAAAAAACAAACTCAAAACAATCATACGAATCAAAAATCAAAACAAACAAACAAACAAACGGACAACAAATCGAAAATTTGTAAAATAAAAAAAAAATAAACAACCCGGGTTTCACTTTTTTCAAGATTCACATCATTAATATTAATATTTATTTATTATAATAATAATAATAATAATAATAAAAATCAAACGAGTATCAAGACGAGTATTTATAAAAATATTACCGTACGATACTCGCGATGATAATAATAATAAAACTGACAATGAATAAAAAAAAAATTTTCTACTGAAAGTAGTAGAAACGACGACGACGACACCTTTCTAATTAATAATCGAAATATAATAATAATAATAATAAAAAACCTACCGAAAATGACTTTTGATAAAAATTATTGCTATAATTATTTCATCTTAAATGAGCAAACAAACAAACAAACGAGACGATTTAGCCTAAAAAAATTTTCATATCGTCCATTAGTAAAATAATAATAATAAAAAAAAAATGAATTATTAAAAATTAATAATAAAATAAATTAAAAAAAAAAAAAAAAAAACTCGGGGGGATCGTAAAAAATAACAATAACAAACAAACAATTTAATTGTTGCAATCATTAAATGTTAATTAATGAAAACGTATATATATAATAACCTCCAAACATGAAAAATTTTTTTTTTTTGTTACGAATGGAAAAATTTTACGAAAAAAAAAAAAAAAAAAATTTTCGACGCGAGAATAATTTGAAATAATAATAACAATAAATAAATAATAGTTAATAATAATAATAATTAATAATTAATAATAATAATAATAATGGTATAAATATTTTTAAGAAAAAAAAGTTTATATTTACCTGAATTCTAATTTGTTTAATCCAAATGTAAAAGTGAAAAACCGAAAAAAAAATTAAAAAAGGAAAAAAGGAAGAAAAAGGTACGCGCACTCTCACGTCGTAAACATGATCGAAAATGAAAAAAAAAAAAAAGGAAAAAAGGAAAATTAAAAAAAAATTATACGACGGTTATGTTGACCGAACACTAATCTAAACACACATTTACGAAAAAAAAAGTCGAAAAGTCGTAGAAAAAAAACGATGATAATAATAATAATAAATGACAGTTAATAATAATAATAATGAGAGAGCTGGAGAATTTTTTATATTATAAAACGAAATAAACGAACGGTAATGACAACAACAAACAGGTTGGAAGTTAACCGAAAGACTAAACTCTTCATCCACCGAACTAACAACAACTACCAACAACAACGACAACAACAACAACAACAACCGAAAATATTTAAAAATTTTTTTTTTCTTATTATTGTTGTTTTTTACGCGTAAGAAAAATATATAACGATATTTAAATAATATTAATAAAGTTATCTTTAAGAGAAAAACTTTCTTTTACCGACGGAAATGTTAAAAAACAAACGAGTACCTTGTATTAATCACTCGCGTATAAGTCAACTTACAAAAAAAAAATCTGATTTTTTTTTTAATTCGGTTCACATAAGGAGGGAGATGATAATTGTATTACTTTCATAATTTCACCTTAGACGATCATGTTGAACAAACACCTGTACGGGTTTTTTTATTTTTTTATATTCATGCGTGTGTGTGTGCGTGCGTGAGTGCGTATGATGCCTTTTTTTAATAATGGACAACATTTATTTAAAAATTATCTCGGGGGCAAACATACATCTTGATGTTTGTTACAAGACGAAAAAAAAAAAAAAAAAACCCGGTTGTTGTTGTTTAGTATTGTCGATTAACTTATTCTTTTATTTTCATCATCATCATCATCATCATCATCATCATCGAATCCTTTCCTCTTAATATCTCAACATGGACGTTATCCAAAGAAAAAAAATAATAATAATAATTTTTGTAGGAAACAAACGAAAAAAATAATTCAAAAATCGTATAATACTCGGTAAGGTAGTAAGTAGGAGGGGAATGAGAGAGGAGGTGGAAAGTGGGGGGAGGAGAGGGGAGGAGGAAGAAAAAATAACAATAAATAAATTTTTCACCTTTCAGGTACGTTTTATATAAAATATTTAAAAATAAATTTAATAATCGAAAAGAAAAAAAATCACCTCAAAGGTGTAATTAATTAATTAATTAATTTTCCAAAAATTAAATTTCCGCGGCGTTTCATATACATCCCTAAAAATAATTTTTTTTTTCCCCCGGACCGTATTCATAATAATAATAATAATAAATCGAAATTTATCGGGGATGGGAATGGGGGGGGGAGGGGAGCTATAAAACGTCGTAGGGGAAAGATCATTTAAAATTATGTAATTTTTTACAATAAAACAACCGAATGGGAGAAGAGGGAGAATTTTTTTTAATAAAAAGTTACCTGGGGGAAGTGGGAGGGAAGAGGGGGGCGGGAGAGAGAATTATTTTACTGATTTTATAAATAAATGTTATTTTATTTTTACGTAACATCCGGAAGAATGAAAAAAACAAAAAAAAAAAAAAATTAAAAAAAAAAAAAAAAATTATAGTGTTGTTGTTACGTTTTGGTGTCTGATTAATTCTAAATTGACGTTACTTTCAAAACAAGTTCACGAACTTCATCATCATCATCATCATCATCGTCATTATTAAAAAGTAGAGTACCTTATTATACGATTGATAAAAAAAAATTATTATTATTATTATTATTATTCTGTTGCGTGCCCCTTACAAAATAAGACGACGAATAATTTTCCAATTTTATTAATCAGTTCTTATTTTGAGGGGAGGGAAGGGAGGGGCAAACGATTATGTGACTCGAGTAACGTATTTCAAAGAATAATATTTGATAATCATTTAATTAATTAATTAATTAATTTAATTATTTTTTATTTATTTATTTATAAAAACATAAAAATTATAAACACAAACGATAAAGGAGCCTTATCGTTTTCTTTTATTTATTATTATTTTGAATCTATTGTAGCGAATAATATTAAAAATCATTGTTTTTAATAATATGCCGGATTTATTCGTACAATATGAATATTCGGTCAATTAAAAACATTAAATCCGGAAACGTAAAAAAAAAAAATAATAATAATAATAATAATTTTTTACGATTTTGATATTAATAATGTTAACCAATCGCCACGATAAACGATTCCTTTCAATGGTCGAACGTATTTATTTATTATT